GAGAGAGAGAGGGAGAGAGTAAAATTACCAGTAATGAATTATTAACAGAGTGCAGTAATTTACTAACATTTTCATGTTTCTCATGTTGTGCAATTCACAGATAATCATGGATGTTCCTGCCATAGGGGGTCGGTTGATGCTCGTGGACATGGCTGGATCTGAGAACATCGAACAAGCAGGCCAAACTGGATTCGAGGCAAAACTACAAGTAAGTTGGTTCTTTTGCTTTTCTTTCTTTCTTGAGGTCTCTCTCTGTTGGCTAATATTATTTAATGGTTACCGATACAAGACCAGTTATATTTTTTTTGGATTCAAGACCGCAAAAACTATTATATTTGTGGTTGCAATGTTTTAATACTTACTTCCTTTCTCTTTTTTTTTTTGAACACCTTTTTGAATATTACAGACAGGTAAAATTAACCAAGGTAACATAGCACTGAAGCGAGTGGTTGAAGCTATTGCCAATGGTGATTCTCATGTTCCATTCAGAGACAGCAAGCTCACCATGCTTCTTCAGGTAATCCTTATACGTATTTTCTCTATCCTGCTTGCTAAACTACTGTTTCTCCTCTCTCTCTCTCTTTCTACAATTTAATTTGAGTTAGTGTTGTATGGGCAGGATTCATTTGAGGATGATGAAGCAAAAATCCTGATGATCTTGTGTGCAAGCCCTGACCCAAAAGAAATTCACAAGACTATCTCGACCCTTGAGTATGGAGCCAAAGCTAAATGCATAGTTCGAGTGACTCACACACCAACCAAAGATAAAACCAACACAGAGGATTCTATTTCTACAGTTCTAGGATCAAGAATTGCAGCCATGGATGAGTTCATCATCAAGCTCCAGATGGAGAACAAGATCAGGGAGAAAGAGAGGCAAGAAGCAAGGAGAGAGCTCTTGAAGAAAGAGAAAGAAGTTGCAGAGTTGAGGGCCAAACTCGAGCAGGTTGAAGAAAGAGAACCTGCTGAGAGAGAAGAAGAGATAAACTTGAAGGTTGATGAAAGAACAAGGCTTCTGAGATTGGAGCTTGAGAGGAAATTACAGGAGTGTCAAGAGATGGCAAATAATTTTGTGGAATTGGGTAGGAGGAGGATGGAAGAGAAGATATTGCAGCAGCAAGAGGAAGTTGAAATGCTTCGAAGGCGTTTAGAGGAGATCGAGTCTGAGTTATATCATTCTAGAGAGAGAGAACGAGAGAGTATCAATACATCACAGGAATTGGTTGGCAGTAGGATTTTGACGAAATTGACTGAAATTTGTAACAAAGATGAACAGGGTATGGAAAAATCAATGGATATAGAAAAATCAATGGATATAGATATTGGTGAACCACAGACTGTTGACATGAGAGAAAACAGTGGCTTTGACGTGAGAGAAACTGAGGAATTTGTGGGCAGGCCTATAATTTCTCAAAACTGGGGTATGGAAGAGACATCTGACATTAATGAATTCAAATTTGCAGAGAAAGCTCAATTAAGTACCGTATTTGAAGAAGAGGGAGAAGGAGAAGAAGAAGAAAAATTAAATGAGGAAGATGAGGAGGTGGAGAAGGAGATAATAACTCCCATTAATTTTAACATAAAATCTGAAAACTTTGATATGGGTTCATCAGTGTTGTCCCCCCCCATAGAGAGACCCAGTTCTTATAACGCAGAATTAAGAGAGATTTCAAATGGAAAGGGAAGATCGGAGAAGCCTGATATTCATGAACCAGAAAGCTTAAAAGATCCAATCACAGCAAGAAGAACTCGAATCCAAAATATCTTCATGCTTTGTGGGAATCACAGAGAGCTTGCTCAGCATGTAAAAATATCACCTGGTGGAAATAACAAGTCTGAGTCTCTCTCTGCAATTCCGGAGCCTGAACCCAAATCCTTTGGTAAGGAAATTCCTCAGATTCAAGTTATTTCCCAGCCTGATTTTTTCTCTCCAAACAGTTTGAGTTCTACAGTACTGAGAAAAAATGCAGAAAGTCCAATTTTAGCATCTTTAGAGCCACGTACCCCGGTAACTCCCTTTGAAGGATTGATGAGATTTGAACAGAGAGAAAGAACCAGTGACACGGGTAAACTCAGTAACAAGAAAACAAGTGTAACCAATAAATACAGTATCATTGAAACAACAGATGAAGCAAAAGAGAACTTCAATATTAACACCACAACAGAGGGACTGATTGATGTTTTTGTTAAATGGGAGGCATCAAAAGACTTAAATGGGAAGTTAATTAAGGTGCTTAACGTTTCGAGGAGCTCGAGCCTTTCAGATATTAGAAAGTTGATTGAAAGGCATCTGGAGGATGAGAACAATAAACACTCATTCACATTTCTCATGCTTACTGTAAGTTTCCTCTCACAAATTTCTGCTAGTACTGTGGTTCATAACGCACTTCTTTTTAATTCCCCTTAATAGCATGCATTTCATCACTAGTTTACATCAAAACTCAAATCTCCATGTGTATGTTTGTGTGATAATGGAATCAATGTTTTTGTGTGCGTGTCAGAGGAGAAACCATTGTAAAGAAGTTGGTCATATCTGTTTTAGTTAAGACAAAACTACTTCTCTGTTGGACATTGTTCAGTTAACAGTTATCTCTCCTGCTTTTCTCGTGACTGAGCATCAAGTTCTGTTAACTCTCTCTCTGTCTTACTCCTAACCTTTTGCAACTGTGAATATTTGCTTTAAACTAACTCCTTTATATGTTTGGCTACTAGTAGATCTTCGCTATCATGGGAAATTGTACATTTTAGGTCTGAGTAAAGCACAGATTTGCATTTGAACTTATGTTTATCCATCTCTCTCTGTCCCTCTCCTAACCTTTTGCAACTGTGAATATTTGTTTTAAACTAACTCCTTTATATGTTTGGCTACTAGTAGATCCTCGCCATCATAGGAAATTGTTTGTTTTAGGTGTGAGTAAAGCACAGATTTGCATTTGAACTTATGTTTATCCATCTCTACTCTCTGTTTTTTGCCTTTTGCTTTATAGGTAAACTCATTCTCTCTTGAACCCTCCTTTATAAACTTTATAATTTCCAACTATGCTTAGGGGTGGCAATGGATCTGAGACCCGACAGGTAGACCTGACCCAGGTACAGGTATGGGTCCAAAATTTGGACCCAAAGCGTCAGTCTCCGGGTCCAGGTCCAAATCTTGGACCTGAATATTATTCGGGTCTGGGTCCATGTAGACTTGACCCGAATTTTCTTAATTTAACTTTTAAACTCCAAAAATGGCTAAAATCAAGTAGATCTATAAACATATGAAAAGCTTCAAAATGGATGGCCTAGATAATGTGGTGCAATATGCACTATTTCTGGAACTTAAAATCTTTTCTTTTTCATATTCATTAATTTCAATGTCGAGATGATCAATTAGACAGTTTTTCAACATTAAAACAATATTTTCTGATGGATTTTGGAGGTGCATCTGTAATTCTACATTTTAAGGTTGCAACCTTATATAAACTTTTTCCATACTTATAATTATTATATTTAAATAAAAAAAGTTTATATAGAGCCGAGACTCTAAACAATCAAATTAGGGACCACCTCAAAAATTTCACTAGAAGAGGTTGTTTTGATGCCCAAATATCCTCAAATTGATCATCTCAATGTATGGACATGAGAAAAAATGGATTTCAAGTTTTGGAAATAGTGCTTCTTGTAACGCATTTGGACCGTCAAATTTCAAGATTTTCAAGTTTTCATTGATCTGCTCGGAACTACACTGTTTTTTAAGCTTTAAATTTTATAATTAAAGATGAAAATATATTTTAAAGCTATCACAAAGATTTCCATTATTGAAAGTTGAAACCACATTTCTCGACAATATTTGAGCTTTACTTTGATTATTTAGAGCCTCGGCTCTATACAAACTGTACCCTTCATATAATGCACATATATTATAAAAATATTTAAATATACTTAAATATATAGATATTTTGATTTCTGGGTAAGGTCTGTTTTGGGTCCGGGCCTAGGTCCCTGTCCAGGGACTCCTGGACCCATCATAGTTCTTTTTTTTTGGTCCAGGTCGGGGCGGACCTGGCCCGGACCCTGACTCGGACCCAGACCCGGATCCAGACCCAGACCCAACCCGATAATCTGTTGTCACCCCTAACTATGCTATGTACTGTCTCTAAAGGGTGTGCTTTGGTGCATCAGTCGACATATCTACACTATCTTCAAGCTAAAAAATCATGGATCTAAAACAAAAATTGTCTTCGAGCTGCAAAATCATGGATCTAAAGCAAAAATTGCATTTCGAGTTAGGATATGAAAAGCATGGTGGACTCATGAATCTTGAGACACACAATAAACTTTTTCCTCTTTAAATTTAATCCTTAATAATCTCTTTCTACTCTATAAACCACTAGGTTTATCCTTGAATCATATCCTCTTTGGTTTTCTCATGGACTCTGTTATATGCATTCTAATCTATTATGGTTGTTTGGTGTTCTACTATGACTGTTACGACTGTTTTGGTTTTCAAGGACTATTATGCATTCTAATCCTATCCTCTTTGGTTTTCTACTATGGCTATTATGGCTGTTTGGTTTTCATGGACTATTATGCATTCTAATCCTAGCCTCTTTGGTTTTCTACTCTATAAACATCTAATCTGTTATTGCTGTTTCACAAGTTCTCGTTGGTACCAATAAATTCTCACTCTACCATTGGGGGACTTTACCTTTTGCAGGATCCAACAGGTGCACCAGTGACCAGAGAGAAGGAAGCCATGGTTGAGGTCTGTAAGCTTCCTCTCTGCCACAACCACAATGGGGGCCATCTTGCATGCTTGAGACCCATCAAAAAGCATAATCAGAGGCCAAACCAAGTTCCATTTAGCCTTTCTGAGAACAAGCTTCCCTTTATTCCCAGTAATACTTCACCATTTGCATGTGTGTGATTGAAGATCTGGATTTGTAATTAAGAAATTACACCATTTTGATTTGATTGTATGATTCTAATGGCTACAAGTCTTGAGCCAGTATAGAGATGTTGCTTTTGTACTCATTGTTTTGGGTGAATTTAATTCTCAGTTTTCAATCTTTTGATGCTGCATCTCTCTGCATTTGAATCTCATTTTATAATTTTTTGATGCTGCATATCTCTCTCTAAACCAACCAATTTTCTTCCTAAGACGTCAGGCAAAGTGAGAACCGGAACTTCAATGAAAAGGTATTACCCCGCCATTTCAAACTCTCAGCATCTTCGCTAAGAAGCTGCTAAGCTGCTCTCGGCCCGCACTCCATGTTTGATTGATGAGCCACTGCAGGTGCATCAGTAGCTAAAAAACCAGTTGCTTAATCATTCATTCTGGAAGCAGCAATTCCTTGAAGCTGCTTATTTAGTCATTCTGGAAGCAGCAATTCCTTGAAGCTGTTAACTGTATTCGTTCAGATTATCGGATACTCTCTCTCTCACTTAATTTCTTGGTGCTGCATAAGACAAACATTCTCTCTCTACTTGAGGCAGTAGTACCTCAATCTCTCTATTCTCTCACACATGAACATATGCAACTCACACATGAAGATATGCAAAAATGGTGTGGGCTTTGTTTGTTTGCAATTACATGCTATTATTTGAATGTGGTAAACTGAAGGTGCATCTACCATTGATTTCTAACTATGAAAAGGTGTAAATTACAGACAGTGGGGATTACAATTGGGTGATTAATGTTGTCATTGAGAATTGAAGTTACTGTGTGGGGGATTGGGGTTGGTGTCATGGTGGTAATACCACTTGAGCCTCATTTTAAGGTTTTCTCCTTCAGTCTCACTAAAAGATTAAAAAATTGATTATTTCAAAACTAAGAAGCGCCAATTGATTTACAAAAAAAACGAAGTTACTACCTCTGGTCTGTCATTAATGGTAACGTACGAAACATCATGCACCCAGAGTGTACTTCTTTGTCACCATATCAAGTTTGACCGATTTAGCTCTCATGAAAGAACTCCCTCGTGTGATTAGGTGTGAAAATTTTTTCACACCAATTGGTTATCTAATAGTGTTAGAAAGAGAAATTATCGCTAATATACCTTTATTTTAGTTAAAAAAAAAAAAAAAAGCTCTTAACTTTTCAAAACCTCGCCACCTCGCCTACGCCATTTCTCACAAATTTTGGTTTTTTTTTTTTACTAAAATGACCTTCACGATAGTATTTTTACCTTAATACATTTTAAGTTTTACGATAATTAAAACACCGTAAAAAATTCAAAGAGTATTATGGCAATTTAAATACGGTAATAAATTCAAAGAGTATTACGGTAATTTAAATACGGTAATAGTTTGAATTATTATTACGGTAATGCAATTATCGTAATATGAGGGGAAGTCTTTACGGTATTCCTATTACCGTAATACTTTCCCGGTCAATTCCAAACCCCTATTGGTTGAAAAGCTTCAAACCGAAGCTAATATTAGCGCTACCCTCTCCTCTACAGTAGTCTTCTATATTTTTCAAAAAATCTATCTTCCCATGGGAGCACGATGTGGATCTATTCCTTCGCTCAAAACGCCTATTTAATACTGTTTTGTTCTAAAATTTTGAGAACCATATAAAAATTACTAAATTATTTTTTAATGAATTTAATTATGAGTTATATGACACTTAAATCTAGCTCTTTGAAAATTGGATAGTTTCTATTCAATCTTGAAGTGTTAGGTTTTTCTAATATACAAAAGAATTTACTTGGAAAAATTATTTTACTGAAATTATTCTATAAGTAGTAGAGATTATATCCTAAAAATTTGAGATTTAAAAAATACAGCTAGCATGGATTTTTGTTGAGGAAGTAAATAGATAGTGGACTCCCGAGAGAGCATAAAATCCTTTATGTTCTTTTAATGAGGTGTGGGTCATATTATGGTAATTAAATTAGCGTAATACTACTTTAAGGTATTACGGTATTTTAATTGCCGTAATACTCCTTCAACTTATTATGGTATTTAAATTACCATAATGTTATTACGGTAATTAAATTACCGTAATACTACTTTAAGGTATTACGGTATTTTAATTACCTTAATACTCCTTCAACTTATGACAATATTTAAATTATTGTAAACTTATGACAATATTTAAATTATCGTAATGTTATTTACAGTAAAAAAAACTGTTGTGAATATTATTTTGATCTAAAAAAAGCCGAAAATTGTGAGAAATGGTATAGGTGAGGTTCTGAAATTTTAAGGGTTTTTTCTGATTATAGTAAAATATAGATATATCAGTAATAATTTCCCTAAAAAAAATACATGAGGCCCAATTGATGTGAAAACTTCAGTAGTTAATCAGGAGTGTTATTTCACGTGAAAATACTTTTAAATAAGTAGTTGTACGCATATCAAACGTGCCCTTATGAATTCTTTATTATTCATATATTACAAACCTTTCTAACCACCAGAACATGTTTTTTCACAAGCGACATATCGTGCCACGGGCGAGAAGCAGCGTGCCTTGAGATGCACGCTGTGTGTGGGGCTGAGAATGGGTGGATAGGGTCTGGATTCAGATATGAGAAGTATACATGGGATTTAGATTTGGATCCGTATTCAGATCCCATTGGATCCAAAAACAAATGTGTATATTGGTTTTTATCTATAAAACAATATATAACAAAAATATTATATAATGTATATGTAAATTATAATATTTTAATAACTTGATGGGATTCACTTATACCCTAGTCCGATCCAATTACTATTAAGATCCAAAATTTGGAACCAGACCCGTAAGATCTGTGCTCTGATCCGAATAGAGTTTGAAATTCGGGTTTCGAATCCAATGCGGGTAAATTCTCAACCCTGGTAGCTATGTGTATCCCGAATGACAAATTAGTATTTACATATTTTTATTTGTTCTTTTTTTTAATGACAAATTAGTAATTACACAATTTATTTGTTCTTTTTTTTTGGGGGGGGGGAAAGGGGTTAAGTCATTGGAGAGAGGGCCCCTACCCTTGGTAGAAATTGAGTCTGAAGGGTAGAAATTGAGTCTAGGATGTAGTGTTACAAATTGTCAAACGCTTACCAATTAAAGCATGGGTTCTTTTCCTATTTCTATTTGTTCTTTTGGCCATAACTTTTCACCATGGTGTCGAGTGATTTTTTACCAATTAAAGCATGGGTTCTTTTCCTATTTCTATTTGTTCTTTTAGCCATAACTTTTCACCATGGTGTCGAGTGATTTTTATTTCATTGGACAATTATATGCTTCCCTTCAATATGATAAATAAATTTACCTATCATGAATTTAAATTTTGTAACCATACTTAAATCAGTCTTCTCACAAAAAGTTGTTTTAGAACTCACCTCGAAAATATCATTATAAACGGTTATTTTGATGTCCAAATATCTTCAAATTATCATCTCGACTTCAAGATACACGGACATGAGAAAAAAATGGAATTCAAGTTATAAAAATAGTGAATCTTGTAATGCATTTTTTTGGATGTCAATTTTCAAAATTTTCAATTTTTCATAGATCTCCTCGATCTACATTATTTTTGTAGCTTTAAATTTTATAATTAGCAATAAAAATATATTTTAAGGCCATTGTAAAGATTTCTAATATTAAAACCATATTTTTTGATACTATTTGAAGGTATACTTTATTTTGATTGTTTAGAGCCTCAGCCCTATACAAACCGCACCTTTTAATAAAACCATTGCTGAAGTTTTTGGGATAAGTTTCTCATTTCCTTAGAGCTGAAATTTGAAACATTATTATCCTTCCATGACACTTTACTTGTGGTTGAAGGCCAACGTTCTAGATAAAAAGTTTATTTACATGGTTACAACCTTATATAAACATTATCTTTTTAATTTCGATGAGGATGGAAAAAGTATACAAGAAACAATTTACTTATAGTAGAAGGAGGGCGCCATCATTATTAGGCGTTAGATTTTAAATCGAGCAAGTATAAATGTATCATTGGCTAAACTCAATTTTTTTTTTAAAAAAAATATCGAACTTTATGACACACTGCAAGTCATCTGAATTCTATGAGGGATTTTGACTTTTTGGTAGCAATTGAAAGAAATACCTATGTGATCTTTTACCGGAAAATACTTTTTTTTTTTTCTTCACCCTTTTCTTTTAGCAAAAGATAAATGACAAGTGATATTTATTATAATAAGATAAAATTCAAAATAAAATTAACATAACAATAAAACCAAGATCTTGACAACTTGATGTCATTTAAACAACTATGCACTATACTTGATAATAAAATATAATATTGCAATAAATAAAATGAATAGTACCGGGGATTACCTCAACCGGAATTATTATACCTCATACCGAGTCATCACCATCCGATGGCACGGGATCAATGATCAATCTTCAATCTTAACCGGAAAAACAAGTTTAGGCCAAGCCACACCAATAGAATATGAACTTATTTGATCACAAACTCAAACCCTAAGTGAATTCTCTTAGCCACCTAGTTTGAGAGAGATGGATTATCTTTTTGCTAAACCCTAAAACCTTTAGCCATAAATTCATAGTTGAGATATAAGAAAGAAAATAACTACATAACTTAAACCTTTGGGTTCTTTCACAATGTGGGAGAGAGAGATTAAATACGAGAGAGTGGTTCGTGCCCCCTTTGGCTTTCATGAGAGATATAAGCTTTTCTTAATAGAGAAAGATAAATTCTAAGTGGGTCGTGCCCCGTTGTGGGATATGGGAGATAAATATGAGAATTAGGTACAAGATATAAGGTGTAGAAATTTTTGGGTAGAGACAATTCATTTTTATAAGTTTTGAATAATATTAGGTTTTTTTAGGGTTTTCTTTGACTTGTCTCTTCTTGTGAGATTGAATATGAACCATTGATCTTTGATGACTTATAGAGTGAGAGATTTGAGTCATCCATTCTTCAGATGGATCATCAACATTATAGAATGTGCATGAACCATTATCCCCCTTTTTTAAACTATTTTTCCATCAATATAAATTAAATAAATTAAATCTAATCAAAATATTACGCATACCATAAAATAACATAAGTCTACTCAATATTTCCATAAAATATTTCAAATATATATCAAGTCAATATCTTTCAACCATATGGCCACATGTCATATCACCAAAACAATAGGAAAGATAATAAGGGTGGAGCGTGCCACCCAATGAAGGCACTCATGGGCCCCACTTTATGGAAATATAGTAGGCCCATGTACACAATGAATACCTATGATATTTTTATATATTTAAAATTAATAAAAATATTTTAGGATATTATTTGAATATTTAAATCATTGTAAAATCAATGTATTTAATTTTATAAATAAAAAATATATAAATAAAATATCCAATGGTTCATAAGAATTCAAATAATAATCCTAAATTAATTTTCATTGTAAAACAAAAACAATTAAAATAATTTGATGGGAACATGATCCATATGTTTTAGGAATCAACAATCATGGGGCACTTCACCTTCAACTGTGGACTACGGACCACACTTGCTTTATCAAACCGACCCAGAGTTTTTCATGACCGATAGTCCAAGCAGGGGTTCATTAGCAGGTCACCAAAGTCCGACCGATGAGCTAAGGGGTCGCAATCCCAGTCTGTGGATTTCAGATCCTCCCCTAGAGACGAGTCAATGTCACTTAGAGCTGATACGAACCACAACTCATATGGTGCGTAGGGTATCTCTCGCACATTCATACGCTTCACCCTAAAAGGTCGATTTATGGCTTTTCCGAACGATCTATCGATATGCACATGGATGAGGTTTTGGCCTTCGTCTCTGTAAGCTAGCATCACACACAATGGTCACACAGTCCCTCGGCTCACTCATACGGGCATATTCTCCGACCTCATCAATGTCAAATCCATTAAAACCCTTATTAGTTTGTTTTTTATGCCCAGGTAACATCGGTGTTTTCCAACTGATTGACTTAGATCGTCAAGCACAGTTCAGTATCAGCAAACATCGTTTGCTTAATACAGTCCACGAGGGACTACACTCTTGTTGAGTTCATGTTCCACTATATAATTTCATTTTATAATTACTCATAAGGCCTTTAAAGGCCACATAAACCCAAAAACAATGGTCAATGGAATCATGGTACACAATTTGTTTAAGATATGTTGTTTCTTTAATCCTAGACAGTTAGCCAAAGATAAATTTCAAAAGGTGGATGCATTAGCATAAGTGCCTCCGCGACTAAACATAAGTGCCTCCGCGACTAAACTAATGCAACGCAAATAATACTATTGTCATTACATAACTTCTCTAAGAAGGGTGATGACCTTAAAATTTCCTTTTAACTCATCCCATGCCAAAGTGGCTGGGTTTGTTAGGTAGGCAGCAAACACAAAAATTCGTCACAACTCATCATGAACTTCCTCTAGGTGTTACAAAGGAAACAGTTTATTTACACACCATCAAAATATACCTTAGAATTTACCCAATTTGGATATGAAATATGAATTTTAGATATTATCGGAATCTAGATTTGGATCTAAAATTTGGATTCGATGGGTCCGATCCGAATTCAAAATTTTGATCCGAATAATAATTCAAATAAGATCCAGGTGGATCCGATCAAATCCTGATCCAAATCCAAATCTAAATCTAAATCCAAATACTATATACACTATTCAAATCTGAATTTGGATCCCGCTCCGAACCCAATCTTACCCATTCTCAACCCTAATGCGAAGCTATACCTCAAATTCATTAAGAGGTCATTTGGGTAATTGGAAATCTATTATATGAAAATAGACTATGATGAAATATTTAATTTCCATCGTTTGGCTATATTATAATAGTAAGAAAATAAAAAATACATTAGACGAAATTACACGACATTTCCCCAAAACTCACAAAAAGCTTTCATGTTCTTATTCTAAATGTTTTACATATTTGAGAACAGTTGGGATAGTGATTGCATAAATGCAAATGTTTCCATCATCAGTAATTGTCTTGACTTCAATTTTTTAGTTTTGTAGGGATGTCCCTTTAATGAAAGTTGGTCGCAATTGGTGTCATTTGCTATTGGGATTTTTTTTAGGTATAGAGTGATAAATCTTTTACCATGGTGAATAACAATCAAAACCTCAAGCATGAAAAAAATATGAAAGTATTAAATTGATGTCATTTGATATTGAGACTCTCTATCTAGATTGGTGATGATGACAATATTAAAAAATCTTATTGAAATAGTGTGATGATGACTTTTAGTCGATATTTAAATGTGATTTTGTGATAAAAAAGAAAGTAGTGATAGTTTATAGGTACGCGATGGTAAATGTTGGTAATACATTTATCAAATTTATTCAATACGTAGCCAAACATTAGCAATATATTTCTCAAGTTGCACCTAAATACTACCCAAACAATAACAATTTATTTGCAAGTAATATATTATGCCAAGAATGTATTACTTCAATAATATATTTACAAGACAATATATTTCCATAAAAAAAAAAGTAGTGATAATTTATAGATAAGTGATGGTAAATATTGGTAATACATTTATCAGATTTATACAATAGATAGACAAACACTAGCAATAAATATTTTCAAGTTATATATGAATTCCACCCAAACAATAATAATTTATTTGCAAGTAATATATTATGCCAAAAATGTATTACCTCAATAACATATTTATGATACGATATATTTTTAGGTTGCCAATCAACCCTTAAAGATACTCTAGCCATTTCTCATTAATCATAGGGCATTTTTTGGAAAACCTCATAAACATATCTCCACCGCTTAATGCTTATCTACAGAGACCTAGAAGCTTCTACTCTAGGGAAACGTGTAAAGATTTCGTTGGTTGATAAACATAGAAAGCAACGGCACATTGGACCTAACCCTAGTCTCTACTGTATAAATAACCCCCCTTCGCCCCTCTCTAAATTCATTCAACTGCACGGAAGCTTATTTTCTCTCTCAATATCGCGGAGGAGCTGTTTTCTCTCTCTCAATATCGTGGAGGAGCTGTTTTCTCTCTCTAGATCTAAGCAGTTCGTGTTTGTTTTCATCATCTTTTCAAGGTATTTTTCTTGTGCCATGTTTTTCTTCTGGTTTTTCGGTTTTTAATTGGTTATATTCATCTTGTGGATCTCTCTTTCGATGGTTTTGGTTATGATTTTGGCTAGGGTTTTTGTGTGTTTCATTCTTTGAATTAAGCGATTATGTCTGTATAGTTTGATTAGGTTTTGTGGGGGTGGGCTTTATCTGGATGAAGATATATGGTTAGGGTTTTGAGGGGTTGATTGTAAAGTGTATAGTTTCAGGTTCTAGTTGGTTAGATATGTTATTTTGATCTACTTTGTATGGTGGAAACTTTTTAGGATATGTGTTCTATTACAGCTCTTCACAATTTTTTTAATTCCCTGAAACCTGATCTGATTTTTAGGGGTTTATTTGTTATTTTAGGGATTTATTTGTTCATTATATTTTAATTTCCTGAAACCTAATCTGATTTTTAGGGATTTATTTTTTATTTTAGGGACTTTTTTTGTTATACGTATTTCTTTTCAGGTAAAAACGTGATATTTTTTTTTTCTTTTGAGGTTAATTTATCCTTAAATTTGATGTATTTCATTGGCACCTTACAAGCAAAGGAACTGATAACTTATGGTGTAAGATTTAAAGAAACCATGTTCTGATTTCATTTGAAGTTTACAATTTTCTTTTGATTGATTTGATGGAGGCTTGGATATTAATATCTAGCTGATTTTTGAAGCTGATTTGGGTTTTTTTTTGCTGATGTCTGTTCGGTTTGTTTCAAGGATTATTTCTTAGTGGAAAAAGTCTGTAGTGGGTTTAAAGATCTTTAATTGTTTTGGGATCTTATCAAAGGAATTTGTATATTTTAATTCATCGTTTGTAACAGATGATCGATCGTTTTTTTTTTTTTTGATGTTTTATTTTATGCGTTCTTAAAGAACAAGCTGCCTGGTTTTTGGAGGATGATTTGTTTGTAATTAAATTGATTTGTAAGTTCGGTACTGTCCTAATAGATTTAATTGAAGGTTTTGATTTATTTTCTTTTTTTTGATTTATTTTCTTTTTTGGGTCAATGGTTTTGTGAGGTGATTGGGTGGGCGAATGCCTATTTTGGTTATTGGCTGACATTCTCATGAATGTTTCAAAATTCAATTTTTTTTATAATTTGTTTTCCCTTGTATTTATCATATATGCTCTTTATCATTACTACCTCGTTATTTTTATGCTGCTATGTTTCTTGCAGACCTTTTTTTTTTTTTTGAATCTGCTCCTTTTATTTGATGGGAAATTATTTTATTTGATGGGAAATTATTTTCATGTAATGAAATATGAAATTCTGATCAGTCTAAAAGTTTCATATCAGAGACAATAAACTATTTTTCTTTGGTCCATAGAATTGCACCCCTTATGCAGATGGTCAGGTCTAATCCTTGGTTGATTATTGTGGGTAATTCGAATATAAGTTGTATTTGTGAAAAGATCCAGTGGCTCTTCTGTGTTAATATTAATGGGATAACTTCCTCTTCTAGCCTAAAAAAATTAGTTTACTTTAAAATGATTCCCTATATTACTCTCTGTTTCTCCTTTTGTTCAAATATAGACCAAATAACACGTCTGTTATCCCTTGCAGATGCAGATCTTTGTCAAGACCCTCACTGGGAAGACCATTACTCTTGAGGTCGAGAGCTCGGACACTATCGATAATGTGAAGGCCAAGATTCAGGATAAGGAGGGAATCCCCCCTGATCAGCAGAGGCTCATCTTTGCTGGTAAGCAACTTGAGGATGGCAGAACTCTTGCTGATTACAATATCCAAAAGGAGTCCACACTACACTTGGTGCTCAGGCTTCGTGGGGGGATGCAGATCTTTGTCAAGACCCTCACTGGGAAGACCATTACTCTCGAGGTCGAGAGCTCTGACACTATTGACAACGTGAAGGCCAAGATTCAAGACAAGGAGGGTATTCCTCCTGACCAGCAAAGACTAATTTTTGCTGGTAAGCAACTCGAGGATGGTCGGACTCTTGCCGACTACAACATCCAGAAAGAGTCTACTCTCCATTTGGTGCTCAGGCTTCGTGGGGGCATGCAAATTTTCGTCAAGACCTTGACTGGCAAGACCATTACCCTGGAGGTTGAAAGCTCAGATACAATTGACAACGTGAAGGCTAAAATTCAAGACAAGGAGGGTATTCCCCCTGACCAGCAAAGGCTAATTTTTGCTGGTAAACAGCTTGAGGATGGAAGGACCCTTGCTGACTATAATATCCAGAAAGAGTCTACTCTTCACTTGGTCTCAGGCTTCGTGGGGGCATGCAAATTTTTGTCAAAACCTTGACTGGCAAGACCATTACCTTGGAGGTTGAGAGCTCGGATACAATTGATAACGTGAAGGCCAAAATTCAAGATAAGGAGGGAATCCCGCCTGACCAGCAGAGGCTTATTTTTGCTGGCAAACAGCTTGAGGATGGCCGGACCCTTGCCGACTACAATATCCAGAAGGAGTCCACACTCCATTTGGTGTTGAGGCTCCGTGGAGGAATGCAGATTTTTGTTAAGACCCTGACCGGCAAGACCATTACTCTTGAAGTGGAAAGCTCGGATACCATTGACAATGTGAAGACGAAGATCCAAGACAAGGAGGGGATTCCACCTGATCAGCAGAGGTTGATCTTTGCTGGTAAGCAGCTCGAGGATGGTCGTACCCTGGCGGACTACAATATCCAGAAGGAGTCCACCCTCCATTTGGTGCTCCGCCTTCGTGGGGGTCAGTAATGGGTGGCCTTCTCTGCGTCTCTATGCTTTGGATGAACTGCTCTCTCTCTCAATAGTATGAACCCGTTTTTTTTTCATGGTTGTGTGTTGAACTGTTCTTGGCCAGCTTGTTTCTAGCTGGGCTTTTGATTGGGTTTTTTTTTAGTGTGGATGCTTTAAATATAATAAATATGATATTGTGAATAACGCCTGTGTTCTTGTGGTCTTTTATGGATGAGATGTGAAAATGTTGTGCTCTAGCTACTTGTGTGTTGTTCTTTTGACTATTTTTTTATTTATTTTTAATATTGATCTTATAGGATTCTATGATTCGATCTTAGAAGATTGGTTGGAAGTGTGGCTGGGGGTCGATCTGATTTTTCGTAACAATGGTTTGCTTATTATATGTTTCTATATATAAAAAAGAGAGTTTGAATGCCATTTGAGACCGCAGATAAAAAAAAAGTTATTTTAAATATTTAATGAAAAAGTAAAATTGTTATTTTTGTATCATTTTTAAAGATGTTTAATTTTCTTTATAATCTGCTTTCTTTTTAGGTTTTCTTTTGTCAATAAGCTTAATACTATTATAGAAATATGTGTTGGTATAACTCCTATTTTTGATAGGCATAATTAGTATGAGAATGTCTTTCCTAGTTTTTTTTATTAATTTTGTTTGTCCTCTCCTATGTTTCGTCCTCAAATTTTTCTTGGGATAAAATATTAAAGAAGTTTTAAGGAGCAGCAATTGTTTTATCTAATTTTGTACTTAGTATCTTTTAAATCTCCTTCCAAACCTGGATTTTAATTTTAAATTTTAATTTTTTTTGGGATCCTTTATTCAGTTGTGAGCGATTAGGATTGTCGATGCAGCCCAATTAATTTGATTTTTAAGTTTTTTTATATTGTGGCATTGTATATTGATAAGGCTATTTATATTTGATATGATAATCATTTCTAAGCATTGGATGTGTAGAAAGAGGCGATAATCACTTCCGAGCATTGGATGTGATGTGCAGCGACGAAAGTGTTTCACAATATTTAAAAAAGCCCACAATATTCAAGAAAGTGCGTATGTATTCAAGAAATTTTTTGGGAAAATTGCATAAAATTCCCAAAAATTTTATTGGGAAAATTGTATAAAACCTACAAAAATAAATTTTTAAGTATTTTATTACACCTTAGGTTTTTTTAGCGTACTTTTTTAAGAAAACAAGTTTTAAAGTCAATATCTCTTCATACAAGTTTTTTTTATTTTTTTTTGGAGAAAATATTTCCATACTCTTTAATATACTTAAAGTTTTAAAATATATCTTGAAGTATAAAAATGGTATTTTTTAACTTTTGGGTTAATTTAAACTTTTTTAAATCTAAGAAGACGTGTCTTTTTAAAAACTATTTTTCCAAACTTTTTTGTTTTTTAGAGCAAAAAAAATTGAAAAGGATGTACTTTTTTTTAAAGTATCTTTCCAAACTTTTCGTAAAAACTATTTTTCCAAATTTTTTTGTTTTTTAAAGCAAAAAGAATTGAAAAGGATGTACTTTTTTTTAAAGTATCTTTCCAAACTTTTCGAGAGACTAGAGGTGATAAAGACAGTGAGAGGTGTTTGAAAAAATATAAGAAGAGATTGAGAGAATGAGAGAGAAGTTGGAAGAAAGAAATTTTTTTGAGGCATATAAGAGAGTGAGAGAAATAGGAAGAGATAGAGAGAGTAGTAGGAAGAGAGAAAAAACAGTTGGAGCATATAAGTGAGAGAAATAGAAAAAGAGAAAAAAATGGGATACATGAAAGAGAAAAATTAAAAAAAGAGAGAGAGAATGAGAGGCAAATAGGAAGAGAAAAAAATTCGGAGCATATAAGAGAGTGAGAGAAATAGAAAGAGATAGAGAGAGAAAAGTAGGCAGAGAAAAAAAATACTTTCGAAGTATATAAGAGAGAGAAATAGGAAGAGAGAAAAAATTGAGATATATGAGAGAGAGAAATAGAAAGAGAAAAAAACTTGGGATATATGAGAGAGAGAAATAGAAAGAGAGAAAAGTTTGAGATATACAAAGGAAGAGAGATAAATGATTGGGTTTAAAAAAAGAGTAATAATTCTATAAGACCTTCCCTTATGTGTGTAGGATTTGATTTTTCTAGATATTCGTATCAATTTTAATGGTGATTTTTAGGATAAATGGTGATTTTTAAGATAAACTTTAATGATGATCTTACGTACATGGGTGGGAACGGATGGTGATCTTTTGGTGGTCCTATGTACATGGGTGGAAGAGGGTCTCATAGGATCATTTCTATTAAAAATAACATGTATTTCTCACATTTGTTT